ATTTATTTTTGGCTGCACTGGGTCTTTGTTGCTGCACTCGGGCTTTCTTTAGTTGCGTCGAGTGGGGTCTACTCTTTGTTGCGGTGTGCGGGCTTCTCAATGCAGTAGTTTCTCTTGTTGTGGAGCACGGGCTCTAGGCGTGCGGGTTTCAGTAGTTGTGGCACATGGGCTCCAGTAGTTGTGGCACACAGGCTCAGTAGTTGTGGCACACGGGCTTAGTCGCTCTGCGGCATGTGGGATCTTCCCGGACCAGGGCTCGAACCCGTGTCCACTGCGTTGGGGACATATGTTTTCCCCATATGAAAACATATGTTTCATATGTTTTCAATTATCTTGGGTAAACATAACAAGGAGTGGAACTGCTGGGTCATATAGTAACTATGTTGAACTTTCTGAGGAAGGACCTGCTCCCTCAGATGAGGGGCTGCATCTTTTTTATTGAAGTATAGTTGATTTATAATATTGTGTTAGTTTCAGGTGTACAGCAAAATGATTCAGTTATATATATATACACTTTTTTCAGATTCTTTTCTATTATAAGTTATTACAAGATATTGAATATAGTTCCCTGGGCTATACAGTAGGTCCTTGTTGTTTATCTATTTTATATATAGTAGTGCGTGTCTGTTAATCCCAATCCCCTAATTTATCCCTCACCACCTTTCCCCTTTGGTAACCATAAGTTTGTTTTCTATGCCTGCAAGAGTGTTTCTGTTTTCTAAATAAGTTCATTCGTATTATTTTTTAGATTCCACATATAAGTGATATCATATATTTGTCTTTCTCTGTCTAGCTTACTTCACTTAGTATGATAATCTCTAGGTCCATCCATGTTGCTATAAATGGCATTATTTCATTCTTTTTTATGGCTGAGTAATATCCCATTGTATATATATACCCCATCTTCTTTATCCATTTATGTGTCGATGGACATTTAGGTTACTTCCATGTCTTGGCTATTGTATTAAATAGTGCTGCTATGAACACTGGGGTGCATGTATCTTTTCGAATTAAGAGTTTTCTCCAGATTCATACCCAGGAGTGGGACAGCTGGATCATACAGTAAACCTTTTTTTAGTTTTTTAAGGAGCCTCCATACTGTTTTCCATAGTAGTGGCTCCACCAACTTACATTCCCTAAGCTGCATCATTTAAAATTCCCACCAATAATGTATGAGGGTTTCAATTTTTCCACCAACATTCATTCATCTTTTTGATGACAGTCATCTAATGGGTGTGAAGTGGTGTATCATTGTGGTTTTGATTTGCATCTATCTGATGACTAATGATGTTGAGCATCTTTACATGTGCTTATTGGCCATCTGTATATCTTCTTTGGACAAATTATTCAAATTCTTTGCCTCTTTTTAACTGGGTTATTTGTCTTTTTAGTGTTGAGTGGTAAGAGTTCTTTATGTATTCTAGATATATGATTTGCAAATATTTTCTCCCACTTGTAAGTTGTCTTTTCACTTTGTTGATAGTATTCTTTGATGCAAGAAAGCCTTTGATTTTGATGAAATCCAATTTACCCATGTTTTCTTTTGTTGTTCAGACTTTTCATGTCATATCTAAGAAGCCACTGACTAATCCAATGTCACAAAGATTTACCCCTATGTTTTCCTATCAAAGATTTAACTCTTACATTTAGGTCTCTGCTCTATTTAGAGTTAATTTTTGTATGTGGTGTGAGGTAGGGGTGTGACTTCATTCTTTTGCATACTGATGGATATTTAGTTGTCCCAACAGCATGTGTTGAAAAGACTATTTGTCCTCAGGCTTCCCTGGTGGCGCAAGTGGTTGAGAGTCCACCTGCCGATGCAGGGGACACAGGTTCGTGCCCCGGCCCGGGAAGATCCCACATGCCGCGGAGTGGCTGGGCCCGTAAGCCATGGCCGCTGAGCCTGCGCGTCCGGAGCCTGTGCTCTGCGACGGGTGAGGCCACAACAGTGAGAGGCCCGCGTACCACACACACACACACAAAAAAACTATTTGTCCTCATTGAATTGTTTTGGCACTCTTGTCAAAATTGGTTAACCATAAATGCAAGGGTTTATTTCTGAATTTCCAATTCTATTCCATTGATCTGTATGTCTGTTCTTATGCCAGTACCACATAGTCTTGATTGCTGCAGCTTTGCAGTTAAGTTTTGAAATCTGGAAGCATGACTCCTCCAACTTTGCTCTTCTTCTTTAAGGCTGCTTTGGCTATCCTGAGTCTCTCATATTTCCATATGAATTTTAGGATCAACTCATCAATTCCTACAGAAAAGCCAGCTAGGATTTTGATGGGGATTGAGTTGATCTGTAGATTAATTTGGGGAGTACTGTTATCTTAACAATATTAAGTCTTCTAATCCATAAACACAGGATGTCTTCCCATTTATTTAGGTCATTTTTAACTTCTTTGAACAATGTTTTGTAGTTTGCAGTGCACATGTCTTACATTTCTTCTGTTAAATTTATTCCTAAGTATTCTATTCATTTTGGTGCTTTATAAGTGGAATTGTTTTCTTAATTTCATCCTGGATTGTTCAGTGCTATTATATAGAAATACAACTGATTTTTGTACATTCATCTTGTATCCTATAACCTTGCTGAATTCATTTATTAGCTCTAATAGTTTCCTGTGGATTCCTTAGGATTCTCTATATACGGTATCATGTCTGTCTGCAGGCTACCTCACTTTTGATAAGCAAAAAAATGCAGTTTGTGATTTACTTGAGTAGAAATTGATACAACTGGTCTCAAGAAAACTATTTTCACTATCAACAAGCTCTTTTGAGAGAAAAATTCATTCACACTTCGTACCAACGTTTGAAAACTCTTTAAAGCAAAATTATCCTTTCGGGCTTGACCGGTAGAATCTTCCAGGTGTGTTTAGCGATAGTAAAAAGTCATTGTCACTTGGCACTGTTTTCAAGGGCCTATCTGAAAAATCCGTTCTATTCGGACAGTTTTCTTAAAGCCCATCCCGGACTTGGAACTCTACTCTCGAAGGTCCTACGAAGGTCTCCCTCCTCCTCCACCGCTGCCCTTCTGTGCTAAGTGTCACCTTCGATGATAAAGTCCTTTACTTAACTTTACCCCAACTTTTTCTAAGAGGGATTTAAAGAGGTCTTTAAAAAGTGCAAATATGTAAAAAGTTTCATGAATGAGAAAATGAGGGCCGGGCAAGGGAGGAGGAAACTAGTGTGCTCAGTGGGGCACCTGCAGCAAAGGAAATGCAGCTTTTTCCAGGGAGAAACCAAGTTCAAACCCCCGCTCTACCACCCACCAGCGACACACACACACACACACACACACACACACACACACACACACACACGGGCAGATTACTTACCCCCATTTTACAGACAAAGCTAATGAAACTAGGGATGGTTCATGCTAACCTGTGAGTAGGGTGCTGTAACAGGACAGGTGTGCCCATCAGAGCACCGCCCCACCTCCCCCCACCCACTGTGCATGCCACGCAGCACCTCTGCTCCCAGGTCTCCAGGTCCTTTCATCCCATGGAAACTAACACAGCTGCTCTCGCTGATCGTGGGAACCAGCTCTGAGCTTTCTGGCAACAAAAGCAGAAAGGGAAATGTGATAAATGTCAGAACTGTTATTAAAAGGAAGACGCTTACAGTTCTCCCGGTGAGGCATTTTTCCCCCTAAAAATAAATATTTTAAAAATCTCTCCCTAGTGGCTCCTTATATGGGGGAAATTAAGCAATATTAATGGATAATAATTATTCTTCAGTAGAAGATTTCAGGGCAATGGAAGCAGGTTCTTTTCATAGTTGTTTCTTTATGTCAATCTTTTATAGAACCTATGTAGCATTTAGCCCAAAAAGTGACCGTGGAGGAACAGGTTAACGAGGTCCCAACACAAAGCGTCTGGAACCTAACTGGATCATTTACGATGTCAGCTTGGAAACCAGCAGCATGCAGGAGGTAACACTGTGCACCTCGTCCCACGAACTTGTTCAGTGTGTCAGAGCCATGGCAGGGTCAGTAGAGACACAAAGAGCGTCTCAGACCCAGAGCCCCATGGCTACAGGAGACAAGGTGGCCTGGGTGCACACGCTAACAGACACACACACACACACACACACACACACACACACACAAAATCAAACACTGAACTAGCCTTCTGTGCGCAGACAAAGCACTCAAGGGCCGATTGTGTGCGCGATGTGGGGGGAGGGGAGGGGCGGTCAGGGAATCTGAGTCTGGGATCTATTTCACCTCTTCCAATCACTGGAGAAGGTTTCATGAGAGAGGCAGAATTTCAACCATTAGGTGGGGAAAAACCTCAGCCAGTTTGTAAAGAGAGGAGGCAGGTAAAGAATTTTGAAGTTCACTTTCATAAAAGGCTTTGAAGCTCTCTGCTTGGTTTGAGCAGAGCTCAGCGGGATCTATAACCCAGTGAAAGCTCCCCAATGCAGGCTGCTACAATAAACAAGCACCACCAAGCATCTGAAACAGGGGTCTCCAAACTTCAAGTGAAACACATATACAGCAGACTTTTTAAATGAAAATATTATATGTAACACCGATACAAAAAAAAAAAACAAAAACTTTAAAGCTAATAGCAGAGCTGTGCCGGTGCAAACAGGGACCAGCAGAGACCACGAACCAGGGCACTGGTCCACACTCTCCACAACTCCCGGCAGACGCTTCCCAGGAACACCTGGGGCCCAACAAGGCAGAGTTTGAGAACCACTGGTCTCTGGCTTAAGGGACTCCCAAACAGTCTGCTCTAGAGTGGTGGTCCCCACACGTTTAAGAGTAAACCTTCATAATCCTTCTATTTGTTTAAAAAAATATATATAGACGCACTATGTGCCATTATATTGTACACATTATAAAATATCTAAAACCAAAAAAATTTAAGTAGAAGATAAAACAAAAGAAAAAATATTTTTAAATATTTTACTAAAGATACAAAAATCTTTCTGGCTCTCATTAGTGAAAGCAATGAGACTGAAAATACTGTATTATGTAGTAAATCTTTTGTTTTACATTTGGGAACAAAACTGATTCTAAGTGATTTGTTTTGATACTTGTTTAATGGCTGTAACAGGTGAAAAAGACACCTCGCAAAGTTACACTGATCCAAGAACTGCGTTATCAGCTGCTCTTATTAAACCACTAGGACCAATTTTTTCAAATTTCTTCTGATTATGGAAAGGTCTTTGCTGAAATTCAGCTGATAAATTCCCATCTTCCCCAACATCAAACACTTGCTCACAAAGACTAAATCAGAAGGTGTATTTTTCTATTGTTAACAAAGGGGTTTTAAAACACCCATTGAAGGTGAGTTCGTTTCCCGCTCTTTGTTAGGTATCACCTTTCCTTTGAAGGACCAAGGAATGTACTCACGGGCCATCACAGAAAAGAGTCAACAAATTTGAGACACTTTTATTCTAGCGAAAGAAAAATGTGTGCTTTTGCACGAAGTAGCCCGTATAACTCTCTGTGGTTCAAAAGATTTTCCTGATCATTTCTCATCTTGCCACAAGTATTATAAAGATTCTACTACCTGAGAGACTTGCTTTATCGAGGTAACTGCACTGACGGTTACCTGGCACGTAGCCGCGCCCTGTAGGACATGAACCACCTGGGCGATGCTGGCTGCTGCTCATCACCAACAGCTGATGCTGCAGACTCCCAAGCACCCAAACAGTGCACTCAGCAATTCCGACGGCAGCAAGCTACTGCTCACTGAGGCAAACTCACGGGACCTCTGCACGCCTGTCGAGGACAGTGCATCTTTGCAAAGCGGTGACAAATGCCCAGGACGTTGAAAAGGAAATGCCGTGGTATTTTGAGAAGCTGGGCAGGTGCCCATCGGGTAACCCACCTCCCAGAGCACAGATCTGGGGATGTTTAAGAAGGAAATACAAATATTCAGTCTTTCAATGTATACTATTACTTTTTCGAACAGCTGCTAGGTTGTTAGGACAAAAATGCTTATCAAGTTGTTTGGACCTGACTACTTAAAAAATGGACTGTTAGGTGTCACTAGGGGAATGAGGAGAAAGTCGCTGAGCCCCTCAGGGCCGCGGGAGGTGGCTGTCCTACGGTGATGGGGGTGGAGTGGGGGAAAAGCAGGCCTGGGGCCAGGAGCGCCGGACTCCAGCTCCAACTCTGCCATCAACGCCCGAATGCTCTTCAAACTGCCGTCAGCGAATCACACGGGATGGAAGAGGGTACCCTCAGCTCCGAGGCCCTGCAAGGCTGCCTGTCCTAAAGGCTGGGCTCTCTCCTCCAGGCAGGACACGCCCACCCGATCCTGGAGAAACCCACAGTTCTCCCAGTTAAGGCCACGTGCCGTGCCAGGTGCCGAAAGGAGACACCGAGATCCCATCGTCAACTGAGGCTCAAAAGGCCAATGCTGAGGTAGCTGCCCCATCTGACCAAACAGGCAGGGTTAATTTATGCCCAAACCTCCACTTCAGAATCCACAGAGACAACAGTGAGTATCCGTCATGCAAGTGGCCATTCGATGTCATTTTCGTATTTTTTGTAATACCCGATCTTTGTGCCTTGTTTACGATACCATACTGTCTCTGAGAAGTATTCTGGTTACTAAATATTTGGTTAAATGCTCCAGAGCAACCATGTGGGAATCTTCGGGAAACTGAAGAGTCCCTCCCAAGAGGAAAGTTGGTAAGTGTCAAATAACGATTTGTTTAAAGTACAGTATGCTTATGCAAACAGGAGATCTCCTGGACAGTCACCAACTCAGCCGTTTCAAGTGCCTTTTCAGCACCGTCCAGGGCACAAGAGGGGTCCAGTCTTCCCCAGGGAGGAGTCTGCTCTCCGTTTCTTTCTACTAAGTGAGAACGGACACATAAACCCTAAGTCCAACAGGAAGAAACCATGGAGTCTCTTGCTACGGTAACAAAACCAGGAATAGGAAACTTCCCGTTTCCCATTAATTTTCACCAGCTGACCTAATAAAAATCAGTTGATTCACTCCTCTAACCAATATTCTTACCTTCTGGGTGATTATTCACCACACGGTTCAAGTTCAAAGTGGCATTTTATTTTGGAAACAAGCGGTATATATGAGGCTGTAATAATAACACAAGCTGATTAAATCTAAACTTGAAACAAAACAAAAAACTGCCCTTATTACTGATCAAAAAAGCAGATACACAAGAAACGCTGAACGTTGACAAAAACAAACATAGATATTAACAGAAAAGTGGCATAAAGGCTATCGTAAATTATCCTGAAAGGATTGTTAAGTAACATTTTCCATAAAAACAATGCAGTAGGGAGTGAGAGGGAACTCTGGTTTAATAAGAACATATTTTCTCTCAGCATGAAACCTGTTTAAAAAGACATGAATGAGGGGATGGAAGGGGCAGCCATCAGGCCAGTGGGAGGCCGGGGAGAGTGGAGGAGGGTCTCAAGGGAATTAGATTCCAGAGACCCCCCCCCCCCCGAGGGGCAGGAGGAGGGCAGCAGCAGTATTTCAGTGGCTATTATATTAATTAGAAACATATGAAACTTGACACAGCAAGAGTGCAGTGCATGAAATCCATGGCAAAACACTGTTAATTTCCTCCACAACGGGTACCATGAACTCAGGGACCCTCTTGTCTCTGTCCCTTCCTGAGAGCTAAGGGGCACAGTTCTTAATCAGCACATGTGCTGGCCCAGTGTCCAATCATCAGCGTGAACCTCAGAGGAACAGAGACCTGCAGACGGAAACAGGGCAGCCAGCCGTCCTCCTCCTGCAAGGAGGGGACGCAGGGGGCTTCAGACGTCTGGCAAGAGAACCTTTGCAGAACAGACCCAGATACACTGCAGTTCCCCAAAAGGCGAGCTTCTGTTTTATCTTAGAACTTAGGCAGGACGGGTAAGGACGAGAGAAATCCTTTATTGACGGCAGGACACACCGGTCCACCAGTGTCGGCTGGCCACGGTGGGCTTTTAAGTGGTCAAGCATGAGCCACCAGACTGCTTTAAGCCAATGTCTGTCCTGAAGGGATGGAGAAGACGAGCAGACCTACTAAGATAATTCCATCAATCAGTTCATCTGTGGGAATGTGCAAAAGAACACTGATTCACCAGCATACAGTTTCTCCACAGGATTTTATTTCTTGACATGGCTGTCCTCCCCGACCTCCGAGCCAGCATCGTGGACACGTGCCCGTCCCAGCCCACCTCCCCCCACCACACACACACACACACCACGCCTGCTCTCCAGACACACCACCCTAACTCCCCGTTCCCAGGTCCACGGCACACAAACGCTGTCAGAGCTGCTGTTTAGGGCACATGCCCTATGTTTTCAATGAAATTACTAGGAGTAGTCGTTTCTGACAGTATTTAATAACCACCTATATAACACATGCTACTTCGCTTCAATTAACTACTCTGGAATCCATCGGTTTAGAGAAAACTTCAAAACAAATTAGGTTTTTCACTAGTAACAAGTAGCAGCATCCTTTTTAACCATTAAAATTTAGGGGCAACTGGATGCAAAAACGCAGAGGCTTTCTTGAGGGAGATATTGAAGACTGGCTAAACGGCTTTCTGAGGAGAAAAACAAGACCTGTAAAAGCGAAGGAAGTGGAGTTGATCATATAAACGCCCTTTCACCCTGTATACGCAAACTTCACATAAAAACTTACTTGCCAATATTTTCAGGCAGAGACTGCAGTGAGATGTCATTTACAGAAAGACATGTCAAATTCTGCAATTCGGGAAAGCTTTCTGGCAATCTAAAACAAAAAAAAAATGTTGTTATAGTTGAAAAAGAGAAGTGCATATATGGTGCATACTAAAATAAATATAAAGACTTCTTCTGTATGCTGACTGAAATAACCTCCTAAAATTACTTTATGTATGGCACATTTGTCTTGTTTTTCTATTTATAAGGAAAAAAATAAGGACTTGGTCTACCTAGCAGTACAGGGGTATGATAAATACTTGCTGACAGGGTGATCCAGAAATAATTAGAGAGGAAAGATATTCAAGCTGTAAGAATAAAGGAGAAACAATGTTGTGAGCCTACCGAGTGTATGGCTATGAAAGAAAATGATACATAGTTCCTGAAGCTGAAAGTGCCTAAGAGTGAAAATACTTTATTGATTAACAGAAAATAGAAATTTTAGTCCACAATATTATAATAAAACACAAGACAGTTGCTTGATTTTTTTTTTCTTCCTGTAGCTTATAATACCCAGAGCAAAGCTATGGATTACTTACAATTGATCAGCTGACAGCCAATTGCTACTTTCTTAATATTTTTCTTCTGATTTAATATGCCAATCATGTGAGATGATTATATGTTTCACAACGTTCTACACAAAGAGAAATTCTGTATACTTCCCTTAGACTACTGAAGAGCAAGGATTCAAAATAAAAGTATTATTTAAATACCTGCAAAGAAAGTTTACTTTCAATATTTCTATGGTTACTAGTATTTGGAGAGGAAAAATCACAAACTGCAAAAAAATCTCATTGCATCTAAAATGCTTATACATAAATCTGCTAAGATGGAGAAAAGAACACATAACTATTTTTTTGCAGGGGGTGGTGAGGACTTCTTGCCTTAGTGATAGTCTCTAGATTAGAATCTTTCATTTCTTTCCTCTTTCTAGGTTCCTTTTTTTTTTTTTTTTTTTTTTGCGGTACGCGGGCCTCTCACTGTTGTGGCCTCTCCCGTTGCGGAGCACAGGCTCCGGATGCGCAGGCTCAGCGGCCATGGCTCACGGCCCAGCCGCTCCGCGGCATGTGGGATCTTCCCGGACCGGGGCACAAACCCGTGTCCCCTGCATCGGCAGGTGGACTCCCAACCACTGCGCCACCAGGGAAGCCCCTCTAGGTTCCTTTTTTAAAAAACAATTCCTATGCTGTTTGACATCTAATACAGGTAATTCCAAACTTCAAAACCAAATGCAGGCCCCGAAAGATGAGAGTATTAACTAGAATTTTCATAATCGATGAAATACATTCTCAGGAATGGTTTGTACGAAGTTGCAACCTCTTCCATAGTGTAATAGGGCTAAGATTTTTTAAATTTATATTTCAAAAGATGCAACTTAACGGTTCTGAGTTTTTACCAGAAACTATATATAATTTTAAAACTAGCTAAAATGATTGTAAATATAAGGAAATTGTATCTTTAAATGGCTGATTTGCTTTTTTCACTGGCTCTTAACATTAAGAGCCAAACCAGTGATGTGACCAGAAGAGGAAGGCCAGACTTAAGGTCGGGAGAGAGGAAAGCTAGTCTGAGCTGCTGCTCAGAGGCTGCATGATCTTAAAAGGTCATTTCACCTCTTGGAGCCTCAGTTTCTTCAGCCATAAAATCACTAGGCCACGCTGAATAATTTTTAAGGTCCCTTCAACTCACAGACATCGTCTTAATTCTTAAAAGAGCACACCTCCCAAATTAAAACGGCTTTCCTTTAAGAAACCTGCCAAAAACAAGTCCAGGGTGAAAACTGAGTAAGGCCTCATACGATGCAGTGTGTTCTGGTCAAGAGAGTTTTGAAATGATGATAAAGTCACATATCAGCAGACATTAGGGGAAAAACACTAAAGAAGTAGACAAGGGGATTAAGCAACTGAAGAGTTAACAAAAAAACTCCAGAGAAGCATAATATTTCCCAGCTGCCCAACCCTACGAGCTGCCTTGAGCACAAATAGCTCAGTTCAGTTCAACAAACACTGAGGGCTCACTCCATTCCAGAAAGTACAGTAGGGCTGCAGATAGAACCGTAAATGACAGAGGAATAAATACATCTTGTTGGGGGGCCTTGGTCAAAGTGATCATTTACATGTAGGTTTCGAGTGTTATGAGAAAAGTATGCAGAGAGGGGTTACAGGGCCCAGAGGAGGGGCCTCGGTGAGTCGTCAGGAAAGGCCTCCTGAAGAAATGTGATGCTCAGGCTGCATCTTAAAGGAGAGCGAAAGAGTTGGCACAGTCAAAACGAGGGGGAGTGAAATCAGAGACCTGGAGCCCTTTATTACAGAGGCCACAACATCAGACAAGGCAATTGAGGGCCACGCAGGTGGAAAGGCCGGCCAAGGTCAGACAGAGGGCGGGGGGGAGGCTGCACAGCACACCGGGAGCTCCCACTTGATCTTACAGGGACGGGGAGCTACAGAAAGGTTTGAGAAAGAGGGACAACCGTACGGATGATGGTTAAGAAAGAGGACGAGACGTGACAACGGTGGTGAGTTAGAAAGCTATCAGGCTAGAGCCTACTACAGTACTATTTTTCATAAAAATAAACATTACTAGTAACATAATAACTAAAATTCAAAAGAGAAAAACCAGAATTGTTTTTAAGACATATTTATACTTCTTAAAAATAAGCAGATACAGGAAAAACAAAACGAAATAGGGCATTCCCCAGCGCTCCATACCCAAGAAGATCCAAGCAATTTTGAGACAGATGAGATGAATCCCAAATTTTAACTCAATCTCAATTTTTCTAGACACTTTAAAAAAAAAACAAAAAAAAGGGAATGAAAAGGAAAGGAAGAGTACTTTCCTTTCTTCAAGGTTGCTTAAAGAGTCTTGAGAAATTTTATAAATGGGCCCACCTGGCCCAGAGAGACATCTAGAATGGACTCTGGAGGGCTGGTCCCTGCATTGCTGTTTGGGCATCAACCCAGTTACCCTGGCAACACAGGCGCCTGGAATCCACTGGTCGGTGGGCTCACGACTGAGCCAGGAGCCACAGGAGGGGCTCCTGACGTCCCCGTGTTCAAAAAGGGTACCCTTAGTACTATGGACAGAAAAGCAAGCAGAAAGGTTACCTAGTCAGTGGGTTTCCGCTGAAGTCAGCGATCTGTAGTGCTTTACAGAATGAGATGCTCTCTGGAATTTCAGGAATATCTGCAGAAGGAAAGAAAATGTCTATCACTGACCACCACTGTTAACAGTTTTCATCATCCTCAAGATGGACCACAGTCGCAAGGGAATATCTACAAAGTACTAACTCCGCTCAAACATGGCATGGATTCCTAAAGTACTTTTCTACATTTATTTTACATTTGCTTTCCTAATATAAGATATATTCTAAACAGAAGCACGTTCAAGAAAAACATAAAAAACAACCACCCCACCAAGTCCCATCACCTCATCAAAACTCACTGAGGGCATTCGGTTGGTAATTCCCTGTAGGCTTCATTTCCCCTATGTTTTCATATGGTTATATCAGTACAAAGTATTCTAAAGTATGCATTTTAAAATTATGGAATTTCTTCTGATTATAGGCATATTTGGAAAATACAGAAAACTCCAGTGAAGAATAAAAAACCACCAACATTCCCATCACCCAGAGACAATATTTTATTCTGATGTATGTTTTTAATTGTCAGACACACATACAGAGTGTGTGTATAAATAGATCATATTTCAAAATACTAGGTTCATGCTTCACTTTATGTTATTTTACAAACTTTTTCCCCTGTCATTATTTTTCCAAATAGTTTCCCATTCTTAGTGGCACAAAAGCCCACTGCACACATTTTCATATTTCATGTAACCAATCCCCAGTCGTTGGACATTTAGGTTGTTTCCAAGTTCCTAACGTTATAATTATATTTATGTCCATTTCTGGTTATTTCCTTAGGCTAAGCTCCCAGAGTGTAATCACTGTGTCAGAGGCACTAACACCTCTGCAGCACTTGACAAATACTGCTAAATTGCCTTCGAGGGGGCAAGGTACACCTTTATACTTCCACCACCCGATTCAACATCTTTCCCTTCTTCCTTTCTTTCTCTTACATTTGAAAAACTGCCCACGTTATTGGTAAAATAGTCTGGCAACATTTTCTTTTATATTCCTTTGATTACTAATGAGGCTGAATATTTTTCCCCACGTTTACCTGCCACTAAACATTGCGATTCTTGAAATGACCAAAAATGCTATTTTAAATTCCTCTTTCTCTTGGTTTAAACCCTGAGGTTACAGCTTTCAGGGCTGGAAAAGGTTAGTTCATAGCATTTAATTTCAAGGATACATTTATTTTGGACGTACTAATGTTAAGAAGGGCTAAAATAGAAAAGGCTCTCTTGATCCCATGCCATTTCTTCCACCAGCTCGACAAAGGCAAGCAGAGCCAAAACATACCAAATATTTCTAAATTGGGGGTGAAAAGGAGACGGGAGAAATAAAGGGGAAAATGGGTGCCCTGCTCCAACACCACAAAGTAATCAGAAGCTACATAAAAGCTCCAAGTACAAATTTAAAAGCTGCAAGTATTTAAATTTGTGGTAACATTTGCCTCACACAATTCTCTGCCTTGCATGGTCGTATAAGGTAGTGAAGAATACATACTATTAATGATCCTAGTTTCATAAATATGATAGCAGTATATACATATATATATACACACACACATATACACACACACATACGTACATATATACATACATGTGTACACATACACGCATGCGTGTATGCGTGTATACATACATGTTGCGTGCATGTGTACACATACATACACACTATATGTGTGTGTGTGTATATATATATATGGCTTATCCACATTAAGAATGAACTAGTGAATATAACAAAAAAGAGGCGGACTCACAGCTATAGAGAACAAGCTAGTGGTCACCAGTTGGGTGGGGGGGCGGTATAGAGGGAGGGGAGCAGGAGGTACAAACTATTAGGTATAAAATAAGCTACAAGGATATATTGTACAACCCAGGGAATATAGCCAATATTTTATAATAAGTGGAGCATAAGCTTTAAAAACTGTGAATAACTATATTGTACACCTATAACTTATACAATATTGTACATCAACTAGACTTCAATTTTTAAAAAAAAGAAAAGACCAAAAAAAAAAAAAAGAAGGAACGAACAAAGGTACATCCATCCATCATTACAGGACCAGCACAGCTATCCAGGGTGTGAGGCCTGCCCAGGTAAAAGGTGCTGGTCAGCCCTGCACTCCTGACTGTCCCTCCTCGGCCACCATTTCAGGTCCTAGTGAGCAGTTTTTATAAGGCTGAAAACAGAGGTGCAAGGGCTGCACCCGTCACCTCACAAGTGCTAGGGAAGATCAAGCTGACACACACACACACACTGTACAGCAGCTTTCTGCTTGATCTGAGGAAAAGATCAAGGAAACAGAGAAAGAGGAAAAGCACATCAATTCGGTAGAAGTCTTTAATATTTCTCAGACCATCAGAAACATCCGTGAAGCTCAGGAAGATGGGCCTACCAAGGAACACATGAACTCTGGTCGGGGCTGGTCTGGAGTCAGGGTACCTGAGGGTAACAACAGCAACTTCCAGAGAACACAGCTGGACCCAGTCCAGACAGAGCTGCCTTGTAGGAAGACATTCCATTCCTAGGCAAACCTGCTTGTACACAAGATCGGCAAACAGAACATAGGTCTCAACTCCAAAGACCATTTCTTTCTACCATATGCACGTTGCTAACTTAACTGAAAAGAAGGTATTTGCCTGTAAAAATAAGAGCTTTAGACAAGGAAGGCAACAGTGTGGCTAGAAGAGTCCTGCTTACTGGTTTGCTTTAAATTACTAAAAATATCAGAGCAGAAAACTAAGGAAGGGAACGTCTGTTCCTTCTTAAATACTTAGCTAAAATATCACACCCTCAGGGACTCCTCCTTTGGACCCCAAGACTCGGTTGGATCCCCCTGCTCTCAGGTTCCTGAAATCTGTTACAGTTTTAATTAAATAATTGTTTGGTGATGGTCAATCTCCCTTATTGAACTCTAGGCTCACTGGGAAGAAAGACCATGTGGGCCTTGTCTGTTGCTGTTTCCCCAAAGCTGACATAGTACAGTCGGCCTACAGGTTCCACATCTGGGAATTCAACCAACTGTGGATCAAAATATTAAAAAAATATTCCAGAAAGGTCCAAAAAAAGCAAAACTTCAATTTGCCTCATTGGGCAACTATTTACATAGTATTTAAATTGTATTTACAACTGTTTGCATTGTAATAGGTATTATAAGTAATCCAGAGGTGATTTAAAGGATATGGGAAGATATGCAAAGTTATATGCAAATACTGTGCCATTTTACATGAGGGATTTGAGCATCCTCGGATTTTGGTATTTTGTCCTCCACGGAGGCCGAGGGGGTGACCGTACTAAGCTTAAACAGCCTACGGGTACTGAATGAATAAATGAGAAACTCACATTGTTAAATCTCTGCAAAGACAGCTGCTCTCTAATCTGAGTCATGAAATATCCCCTGTAGGGTGGGTATTATCTCTGTTTTACTAGTAAGAAAACTGCTTGGTCCCAGATCTCTTACAAGAGATAGTATAAAGCTTGCAGGTTATTCCCAGCTGCAATCCCCTTTAACTGTCTTCCAAGTGTTTTGCTCTGGACAAATGTGAGGTTTAAGACTAAACATATGAAAAACTATAGACAAAAACCACTTCTCAATGAGGCCAAGGCTGACCACCAACCTCTTCTGCATTTATGAGGTCTGCACCCTCGGATAAACTATTTAACCTACCTGTGCCTAATTTCCTTATCTGTAAAATGGGTCATCAACAGATATTTTCAAATAATGCCAGTATATCATACCTTAAGTGCTGCAGAAGTTCAGAGAAGGGAGAAAATGGAACAAAGAAGGACACTTATGCTTTGAACCAAATAAATAAGAGTAGAGGAGCAGCATAGGCAGGAGTGTGACACTGGATGCAAAGTGGGGAGAGGGTAGGCCCTGGGCACAGTTTGCCTGAACTTCAGGATATCAGTTTGCGGGTGTCTGGAGAGGAGGCCGGAGAAATCTCTTGACAGAAGACTACCAATGCCAGGCTGAGCTGTTTACAATTAATTTGCCAGACAAGGAGTTTCCTCTTCTCTAAAAGAGGGATAATCACAGCTCCAGCTTACGGTTGCACAAGAATAAAGGAGAGTCACACAAATAAAAGCACATGGTACACTCTACTGGACCTCTTTTTTATACTGGGTGGGGGATCAGTAGAGAGGACCACTATTTTCCATTCAAAGCCAAATAATTTTTTTATTGAAATATAACTGACTTACAATGTTGTATTAATTACTGCTGTACAGCAAAGTGATTCAGCTATACATATATATATTCTTTTTTCATATTCTTTTCCATTATGGTTTATCACAGGATATTGAATATAGTTCCCTGTGCTATACAGTAGGATCTGGTTGTTTATCCATCCTATGTATAATAGCTTACATCTGCTAACCCCAGCCTCCCTCTCCATCCCTCCCCCAACCCCATCCCCCTTGGCAACCACCAGTCTGTTCTCTATGTCCGTGATTCTGTTTCTGTTTCATAGATAGGTTCATTTGTGTCGTATTTTAGATTCCACGTATAAGTGATATCACACGGTATTTGTCTTTCTCTGTCTGACTTACTGCACTCTAGTATGATAATCTCTAGGTCCATCCATGTTGCTGCAAATGAAGGCCGAATAATTTGAAGAAGAGTGGCGTTATTAATAGAGATGAGAGGCCTGAGAGGGCTTTTGCTTCTATCTGAGAAGGAATAAAACCCTGAATGAACATCTCTTTACATACAAATATTAGCAATAACTCATGAGGTTTTTCCTCTCATTAAAGAAGGCACCCCCAAACTTATAGCTGCCAACATTCAGCTTAGTTCAAGCTTCTATATAAGGTGAAACAAAAAAAAAATCTTTACTCATATTTTTCATGTACTTAAACTGGCTTTGTCTTATATACGTCCAAGAATAAAAGCGTAAAATTTGATATTTACGAAATGTCTGAAAATGATTGTAAAATTAAGTAATCTCTTCCCTACAATTTTCTTAAGATAACCTTCAATTCAGACCCACTCTAAACTACCATCATTTCTGAATCAGAATTGCTTTGAGTTAGTGAGATGTGGCTGCACTTC